CTCTACTGCATCCGTGGCTCCCTTACTGACTTGAACTGTCTGTTGTTCAGAGTTAGGATCACATCAGTGGCCTTTTGAGCCTCCTGAGGATCATGCCACCTTTTTTCCACCAGCTTGAGGAAATCATCCAGTTTCTGGGTGACTACCCAAGCGCGGAAGTCATGACCGTATCCTTGTAGCTGCACTAAACCACTCAACCATCTTGCTGCACTCCCCTCTAAATAGGAGGCAGCCACAAACACTTCCTCGTGCGGCAAGGTCAATTTAATTCCCCCTAGGCGGGAGTTGTCCCTATGTCGTAGAATGAAATCTGCGTTGTGCAGATGCATAGACCCCTTCCCGATTACTGATGAGATTGTCAGTGCTTTCCTATTACTAGGTCACTTAACATAGACTGGCACTGACCTCAACCATGTGTTGAGGTCTTCGCCCCTCTTGTCCCCTGAAAAAGGTTTGGGAGAGGCGATGGTCGTCTTTGGAACCCACTGGTTTTGTCCCGGAACCTGTCCCACCCCAGGCTGTGGACCTTGGGGACTAGGCTGTTGCACTAGCTGCTGCTGAGGCTGTGCACCCTGCAGCTGTGCAGGCTGCGAGACAGCAGGTTGTCCGGTTACAGCAACCTGCGACGGAGGTGAGGAATACACTGACTGTACAGGAACCTGAACCCTAGGACCTGCTGAGAACCCTCTTGTTAGCGGCATACCTAGGGAAGCGGTTTGGACCGATGTTGGAGAGACATATGGGGATGTACACCGGGCCAGGCACCGGGCCCGGACGACGATGGTGTTGCCTGCGCTCGCCCGACCAGTACGACCAGACTCTGTTGAATGTCCTGAAGGAGAGCCGTGTGGTGGTCCTCCATTTCTACTACACCTAGCAGGACTGTCCGCAGTGTCCTCACATCTGCATCCATGTGTGTCAGGTCCATTCCCTCTAACTCACTAACGTCCGCTTGTCTCCACTGCATCCTTGCTCTTCTTCTAATCATCTTTTCTTTCTCTGCCTTTATCTCTCCTAAAGCCTTTTGTAGTTGTGCCTCTTGCAGTGCTGCCTGCTGTATGGCGACCTCTTCAGGGGTCAGCACTATTGGCTGGCTTGCCATAACTCCAGTGGACTGACTCAGGGTTTGTGCGATCGTTGACCTTACAGTCCCTGAACTACTAGCCTGAGAGCTCTGCTGCGCAGCAGTTGCCATGGCTGCTGAAGTAGCGGCCTCACTTGCGAATGCCCTGCTTGCCTCTGCGGCCCTAGCTCTTCTCTACTGCTGCTGTCTCTCTCTTTGCTGGCGGAACAAGAATTTGTCGCCCACTGGTCCTAATGCCAAGTGGGCTATTGGGCGCCTTGCTGATCGCAAGATCCTGTCGTCCTCGCTAGTGGTATCCCTGTCGCTCATAAGCTACATAACTATACACAATCTGCACTAGGTCACTCTTCGATGCCTACTGCAGCATAGTGCACAGACCGATTTAAAATAATTAAATAATTAATCGGTGGCTAAATCAGAGTATATACATTTGGGTCCAACAGGTAAGTTCAGATTCCTACAAACGAAACTTTGACTAGTTCACAAATAGAAAACGTAGTGAACATAAAACAATTCTAACTATGTTGTCTGTCAGATGTTAATGGTTGTACATCTCACTAATCAAAATAAGAATAGAATCATTTGTTGGGTCTGTTTGCAAAATGAAATCTTGCCCAAACTTGTCACCTGGAATCTACCCCTCCCTTAGTTCTTCCTGAATGTCTCTTGTTGTCAACGTCCCTAAGCAATCCAGAACAGCATGCGTGTCTAAAGGTGTGCACACAGCCCACCCCTGTGCCCCGAGTCCTGTTGAGATGACCAGCCCTGCATCGTTTTTATCCTCGCGTGCAGCAAGCCTTACACCGACCGATTGGCTGATCAGGAGGCGGTTTTATTGACGACCCCCGAAGTCCTCAAGAATGATTTAACGTCGCAAACAGGACGACGATCACAGCCAATGGAAGGTCCCCGTCGGTACTTATTTATAGACGTCCGGTACTCGTCTTTCCCGTAGGGCTGGCCTGCCCATCAGAACCCATCTACAGCGCAGCGAGCAGACAAAGGACAAAGCAGCAAAGCATGCGTGCTCGACTCCCGGTGGGTTGGCATGGTGACCGTGACCTAGTGCTTCGTCCAGGCCCCTTCAGATAGCTCCGCCCTCTCCTTCCAGATGCTCCACGTGAACACTGACGACTCTCAAGGTTGAGCGCACTCGACTCCTCACATGAGAGGACTCTCAAGACAGAACACACATTCTCACGGTAAGAAGTGTCAAAGCGGGTAGATAAGGTTAGGTGCAACGTACCTCAAAATAGCTGCCCCCAACCGCAAATATTCTCACCAGATGACCTGATGCCTATTGTGATGACCAATCGCTGCTTCAGCACAACCAACATTACCCCGCCGTTCCACCTCAGCATCAATCGCACACCAGATAGTTCTCATCACACTGCGAACACCCAATATTCATCACGTAGCCTTCCTGGCGATCCCCTCTCCACCTGGGTCGCCTACTTGCCTTCGCCCTCCTCACTACACACTCCCTATGGTAGCTCGCCCCGCATACCGCATGCACGTACCGCATAGGCAGAAGACAAGCGCCATATGAGCGCACCGTACCACAACTCTGATACCAAATTGCAAGGAAAATGAGCGATAGCGAACTTCAGAAATCAAACAGCATCATACACATGAGACCAGATAGTCGTGACCTCGAACCAATAGCAGAATTGCATCACGAGTTCCACCAAATAAGAGCACAGCAAAAGCTCATAATTGACAATGCTGGAATAGTCTCATCATCATCAACGAAGAACCAATGTCGATATCCTATCTGGCGCTCGGTGCCCAGACTACAGATGGCAGATCCTATCTAGCCTATCTACAATGCCGCAGATGACGTCAACAGCTCCCCGAAGTACGAGCAGATCTCGGCCAATGGCGTTCGCCTCAAGCGCCAGGTATGTCTCTCGTATCACTCACAACCTCGATCCCCAACTCACAGATGCCACGTGCACCCAAGAACCACCATGCGCCCCATCCAGCATACAGTAGCGCAGCTCGGCTATGGCTGCCTGCTCCCTTCCAGCTCGCCCGTGAGCGTGTGAGCGCTGACCAGCTTTAGCGCAGCAGCGCTTGCGCAGCAAGCATCCAGTGCCCGAATGTTGAATGTCGAGGCTGGCCCTTTCCTATATCGAAGTGGCCTGCTGCTGCGTGCAGCATGCAGTACTGGGCCCCTGCCCGGAAGCTTCCGGTAGGCCCCGAGAGGCTGAGCCTCAGTCCAAACAGATCAGGCCCATGGCCTGAGGTGGTTACCAGCGCCCAACTGCCCTCAGTCTGTGTTCGGTCCATATTGTGTATCTGGCCCAGGGCATCCCTCAGTTACATGTGAAAAAGGCACCCTGGGCCTGGGCGCTTCCAACCAACTGGCGCTGCGCAACTGCCTGACTTTACCCAGTTGCGTGGTGACCCCAAAACAGGCCTGTAGGCCCTGGGTCGAGCCTGCCTTCACTTAGGGCGGCCGACCGTACAGAAAATAGGGCCCAGTAGGGCAGATCGAGGCCTTGAGCCTCGCACCTTTTAAAATTAATGTTACAATCCTGGTCATTCCCAAAATGCAAATTCACAATGAAAGACAATGCCACCCAATTGCAAAAGAAATGGAAGCACTTGCAAAGAGATAGAGACCAAAGAAGAGAGAAAGAAGAAGAAGAAGAAGAAGAAGAAGAAGAAGAAGAAGAAGAAGAAGAAGATGTACACCAGCAAGAGCAGTGACAAATCCCCCTTCTCTCTCCACCGTCCTCCTCCTCCTTTACTTCACCAATCTTATTCCTCTTCCAATAATAATAATAACAATCAGTGGATGAACCAGAATCAATATCCGAAGTTCCCTCTTACTGCTGACACAACAACAGGTCCACCATAGCTATGGCTTCCCCCCCTTCTTCCAGTCTCACATGCCTAGGCTATGGCGGACTACTGAGGGCTCTGCCCTCCTGTGCAAAGGACAACGCAAAACAGCTATGTCGCTGCACTCCTGTCCAAAGGACAACCCAAAGCAGCTATGCCACTGCTCACTAAGCCGCCATGCCTGACTCTGCCTCGAGCTTCCTTGGTGTGGCACTGCCCCAACTGGGGCCTTCCAGATGCAGCGCCCAACAAGGTGATGAAGATGGTGTCCACCATAGCCAGGTAGGTACCTCGCCACTCTCCTCCTTCGCCCCCTTCTTCCTCCTCCTCAGGCTGGGCTGCTCGCCATAGCCAGAATGAGCGCCCAGCTGCTCTTCTCCTCCAGGCAGCACTTCACAAGTCCAGCGCTTGGCTCCAGCAGCATACCGCAAATGAGGAGGAGCTGCTTGCTCCTCCAGAAGATTATGTGGCCTACTGGCCTCTTGAGCGATGACTTCCTAGGCCGAGCGGCCTCCCAGCAACCGGTACCTCTTCCCTTTCGGAGGGAAACATCATTGCAGGCTCTGCTATCGTCCGGACAGGCCCTAAACTCAGGCTACTTGGACTGGTACTGGCCTACCTCTAACCTACTGCTACTGGGCCTCTAAAAATGTCAACTTTTGTCTTCTTCTGCTTGGCCTCCAGTACCTGACACTTCTACCACTACTTGAGCGGTACCGGCCTACCTGCTACTTGAGTGTTTTTTTCCTCGCTGCTCTAAGTGTCGCGGGCCTACCCCCGGTACTTGAGTGCTTTCCCCGCTGCAACCCTCAAAGTCACGGCCACAGGTAAGTACCGGCCCTGCGGGGCCTTTCAAACAACAAGTACCCTTGCGGGTCACACACACACTCAGCCGACAAGCACTCAGACAGGCATGCAAACCAGCAGGCACGCACACACACACAGACTTAGAAATCACAGCAGAATGCGGGAATCTAAGCAAGGCATTCATTCCAGCGGCAAATCCCAGAAGTCAGCAGTGTTCTCAGTCTGTGTTTTGGCGGGTCATTACATTAATTAAATTCGTTGAAGTTAATTAAATTTGTTTTAAATCCATTTAAAATTAACTAAACTCATGGAAATTAATTACATTCGTTTTAAATCCATGAGAAATTAATTAAACTCGTTTAAATTAATTAAATTCGTTTTAAACTATATTAAATATTTTTAATTCATTTAATTTTAAATTAGTTTAAATTCACTAAAAATAACAACAATGTCATTCAAATTAAATAAAGATTTCATTTTTTTTAATTAATTTATTTCGGAAATTCCAAAATCCGATTTCAATTAATTCCCCCATAATTTTTCGAAATTTTCCTTTAAAAATGCATTAAAAATTCAATTAATACCAAAAAAACCGGCAAAATTCACACATCTTCTTCTCTTCCATTCCCCGCCGTACCAAGACTTCTCTGCGAGCCGTCGCCTGGGCCGCTGAGAACGCCGCTGCAGCCGCCGCCTCCACCACTACATCTACTTCCTCGCCCCGACCTCTCCCTCCACAATGGCGGACGGTTCCTCAACCATCAACATGAGCGTCATTGACACCGCATCCGTAGACAGCCTGCTTTGTGACTTCACAGCAGAACAACCCGCACCTGAAGCCACCCCCACCAACATCTCCCTACTCACCATGATGCAATCCATGCAAGACACCATTTGTGCCCTCCAATCCTCCTTCGCCACCTCCATCTCCGGCCTCTCCAGCCGGATAGATGACATGGCACAAACATCGACCCCTTCCATCCAAGTGGTCACTACCACGATTCCCACTTCCACATTGGGTTCTAGTCTGCCCCCACGTCCTCCTCTCCTCACTCCCACTCCCACCTCCACCTCTTCTACCTCCACTTCCACCACGGGTCCATCCGCCACTCCCTCCTCCACCGCTTCTATCTCCACTTCCACCGCTGGTCCATCCGCCACCCCAATCTCTACCACCCCCATGCCAATGGCCACCACCGGCGTGTCCCACCCACCTCCTCCCTCCTCCACCCCTCTGATTGCCCAATTGCCGCACCTTGCCCTCGACACCCAATCCTTACCCACACCTCCCCTCTCACAACCCATCTCTACCTCATCCATCGTCACCTCCCTCCAGATGGCCACTCACTCCCAGGTCACCGCCATGTCACACCCCACCCTCCCCCAACATCCCCCAAATGCCCTCCTCCCAACAAACCCCCAACATGACTTCACCCGCCTCGTTGATGCCTCACCCACCGTCGACTTCAACGCACTCGCTACCCACGTCCCTAGTTATGGCGAAATCCCCCGCACATTCCAGACCCACGACATTCCAACCTTTTTCGGTAACCCCAATGAGGATGTAACTCTCTTTCTCACCCAACTCTGACAAGATTTCTATCTCCACACCGTCCCCGTCATCCACTGGCTACCCATAGCCGGTACACGACTCCTCGCCAACACCGCCCGCTGGTGGCTCACCGAAGTTGCCAGCGGCCAACTCAACGGCCAGCCCTCGCACTCCTTCCTCGAGTGGACTACGCTGATCACAACCACCTTTCGCCCTCAAAAGACCATCGATGATTACATCGACCAATTCTGCCGCCTTCGCCAAAATGACCCCACCGACCACTACGTCCAATATGTCCGCTCACTACGACAACATATTCCCGTCCACCTGATCGTCGATGACACTTTCATCTCCCACCTCAAGCGGGTCTCCAACCGTGAAATCACCGCCGTCCTCGTCCATGAGGCCACCACAACCTTATCCGATCTTCTCTTCCGCATTCTCCAAATCGACAGTCTCCTTTTAACTCACAATGCCGCCATCCCCTTCGTCCCTTCCCGAACACGTTTCTTCCACAACATTGCTTCCGACGACACCCTCACCACCACGATGTCGGATGAGTTCTCCACACCCGACCTCGATACCGAGTCCACTTCTACAGACCCCCCATCTTTCACCCAGGAGGAAGTCAACACCATCCATCTCCTCAGGATGGAGCACGAGAACCGCCAGGCTCGCCTATCTTCTTCCACCTCGCCCCCTCGCTTAACGATGCTCACCCGGGAGGAACGTGCCTACCTCCAACCCAACGATGGCTGTTTCCGGTGTCGTCAGTTGGGCCACCAGCAAACCAGCTGCCCCAACGCTAGCCAGTTCACTCGACAGGCTCCCCGCTCCACAAGACCTCGGCCCGTCGTATCCGCCACCCCACCATCCACAACATCGGGACCCTCCCACACATGAACACTGTCCCCTTGCCTCTTGCGACCACGCCCTGACATTGACAACTAGTCAACCGGCCCCTCTATTGGCATCGACAATCCGTCTGCCACCCCCACCTCCGGTGACACATACCCCACCGGATGACACTCCGGCGTCGCAGTTTACTCCGCCTGCCCCCCTCCCGACGATGTCTCTCACCCCGCCGGTCGAGTTCATCACTGACACGTGTTACTCTACCCTTCTCCCTAATCCCTCTCACATCACCTTCTCCGATGTTGTTGAGGAACAAGCGCGGCATGACCGGCTTGTTAGACTAGGCACCGAACAACGTCGCCTCATCAACATGATCTCCACCATTTGTGCCGGAACCGCCCAGTTCCCGCTCAAGTTCATATCCATCTCCCTCGGCGCATCGACAGTTAAGTTACGGGCCCTCCTCGATGGCAGGGCTAACGACAACTTCATTACCGACGTCTCTACGACTCCCCGATCACCATTCGCTTAGGGAACAAGGACTCGACAGTCATCGTCGATCGCACAGTTCCCGAGGTCACCATGACTGTCGGCTCCCTCCGCAATCAGATCTCCTTCGACACCATGCACCTCATGCGCGATGTCATCTTGGGAACTATCTGGATTGATCGCTACATCCCCTACTCTTTCTGCCCCTCTTTCGCCTGCCTCTCTTCTACTCCAAACTCTACCCTTGACATCCCTTACATTCTTCCCCCTACCACCCCACCCCCCGTCTCCTCCCACCAAATCCTCCACATGTCTTGCCAACACCTTGACTCCACCTACTATTGCCTTGTCATCGACCGTGAGCATCCTGAGAACTTGATTCCAACGGACAAACCTGACCAAGCCCCCCCATACCGACCCTCGCGTCACCTCTCTCCTCTCAGAATTCAAGGACGCCTTCCCCGAGTCCTTGCCTGTCGGCTTGCCGCCCGATCACGGTGTATCTCACACCATCGATCTCAAACCCGGCCATTCCCCTCCTTGCCACCCTCCGTACCAACTCTTTGTCCCCGAGGCCGAAGAGATGAAGCACCAACTCAATGAACTCCTTGAAAAAGGATTCATTAAGCCTAGCTCATCCCCCTTCGGAACCAGCGGCCTCTCCGTAAAAAAGGGCTGCACCTCGGAGCTCTGCATGTGCACAGACTACCGCGCCTTGAACCGGAGCACGATCAATAACAAGTATCAATTCCCCCAGATATTTGAACTTCTTGATCGCCTCCACGGAGCCAAATACTTCACCAAAATTGACCTCCGCAGTGGCTTCCACCAGTTCCGTATTCGCGAGGAAGATACCCCATAAGACCGCCCTCCGCTCTCGCTTCGGGCATTACGAGTTCCTAGTGATGCCTTCCGGCCTCACAAATGCCCCAGTGACCTTCCAGTCCACCATGAACCACATCTTCCGCGATCTCCTCGAAGTTTGTGTCGTGATCTACCTCGACGACGTCCTTGTCTTCAGTCCCACCTTCGGCGCATCGAGAAGGTACTTCCCATTCTCCTTGAGCAAAAGTTCTACGCTAAGCTTAGCGAATGCACTTTTGCCGCCTCGAGCATGGACTACCTTGGCTACATTGTCTCTGCTGACGGTATGCACATGGACCCCTCGAAGGTCGCTGCTCTCGTCGAGTTCCCACCTCCCACCACCTTGCTCCAACTTCGGTCATTCATTGGACTCGCTAACTACTACCGCCCCTTCATCCAAAACTTCTCTAACACCGCCTATCCACTCGCTCACCAGCGCTACCGAGTCCTACCTTCGGCACATCGACAAGGTACTTTCCATTCTCCGCGAGCAAAAGTTCTACTCTAAGCTTAGCAAATGCACTTTTGCTGCCTCGAGCGTGGACTACCTTGGCTACATTGTCTCTGTTGACGGTATCCACATGGACCCCTCGAAGGTCGCCGCTCTCGTCGAGTTCCCACCTCCCACCACCTTGCTCCAACTTCGGTCATTCATTGGACTCGCTAACTACTACCGCCCCTTCATCCAAAACTTCTCTGACACCGCCTATCCATTCCATGAGCTCATCCGCGCTACCGAGTCCTTCACATGGACTGAATGCCGCCAAGCCGTTTTCGACAAACTCAAACACCTCATCACTACTACCCCTGTTCTCAAGATCGCCGACCCTTCTCGCCACTTCTGCGTCACCACGGACGCTTTGGACTTCGCCCTTGGTGTCGTTCTATCCCAACATTTCCCTCGCGACCCCCCCACTATCAAAGATTCCCCCACGCGATCCTAAGCACCTCCCGATGAGTACCCTATCACATTCGCGAGTAAGAAGCTCATCATTGCTGAGATGAACTATCCCTCCAATGAGAAGGAACTCCTCGCTGTCATCTATGCCCTTAAAGTCTGGAGCCCTTACCTCAATGGCCAGTACTTTACCATTCGCATCGACAACACCGCCGTCTCCAGTATCCTCACCGAAAAGGACATCACCCCTCGTCGGGCCTGCTGGTTGGACTTTCTCGCCCAATTTACCTTCACCATCTGCCATACTCCCGGCAAGACCAATCGTGTTGTCGATGCCCTCTCTCGCTGACCCGATCACAAGCCCCCTGAGAAAGTCTTCGCTGCCATGTAGCATCTCGACCTCCCCCAATCTCTCCAACATCGCCTTATCCATGGCTACGCCTCCTGCCCCGACTTCGCCCCTACCTACACCAAACTTCGCGCCCTTGACATTGTCCCTGAGTACTTCCTCATCGACCATCTCCTCTACATCGACACCAAAGGAACTCGCCGCCTTTGCAAACCCTTTCGTCCGTGGTCTCCGTACCCAGTTCTTGGCTGAACACCACGACTCCAAGACTGTCGGACCCCTCGGTTTCCAGAAAACCTTTGACAATATATCCCGTTACCTCTACCGGCCCTCGCTCCTTGCCGACGTCAAAGCCTACATCCGTTCTTGGCCTACTTGCCAAGCCGTCAATCCCTCCAACCAAGCTAAGGCTGGCAAACTCCAGTCTTTCCCACCACTGGCAATCTGCCTCCATGGACTTCGTTTGTGGTCTCCCCACGACCGACCATGGTCACGATTGCATCTATGTCATTGTCTGCCGCCTTACCAAGCGCGCCCTGTCCATCCCTTGCACCACCACCTGCCAAGCCAAGGACATCGCCAAACTCTTCTTCGACCACGTCACCCGTCATCACGGTCTCCCCGAAAACATCATCAGTGATTGTGATTCCCAATTCCTCTCATAGTTCTAGAGAAACCTCGTCAAGGAATACGGGACCACCCTAAAGTACAACACCGCCTTCCACCCTCAGACTGATGGCCAGATAGAGAAGATGAATGATACTCTCCAATGCATCCTCCAAAAGTATTGTTATCCCCATCAGCACGACTGGGACCAACTCCTCTCCGATGCTGAGATCGCCTACAACAACGTTGTCTGCCCCTCCACTCGCATGTCTCCTTTCTACCTCGACCTTGGCTACCATCCTCGCTTGCCCTCCGACTTCTTACTCCCCTTGCACTCAACCCATCCACTCCCTGCCCCTCTCTCAATGAATGGGTTGCCACAATGAACCGCCTTCTAAGAGAAGCCACCGAATCTATTCAACGAACTTGGGAACAACAAGCCAAGCAAACGAACAAACATCGTCGTGACGTCACTTTCCATGTTGGGGACAAAGTCTGGCTCTCTGACAAACGCTTTGATCCCGAACAAGGCTTGTCCAAGAAACTCTCGAACAAGTGGCTCGGTCCATTCCCCATCATTGAAAAAACATCTGCTGTAAATTACAAGCTCGAACTCCCTCCTGACATGAACCGCGTCCATCCTGTCTTCCATGTAGAATACTTGAAAGAATTCACGAATCACCTCCTCAGTTCTCTGATCGCCCTCATCCTCGTCCAGCACCTATCATGCTTCCCACCGGTCCTGAATTCTCTGTGGAGTCAATCATCGGCCGTAGAACAACTCAAGTATCCAACCACCCCGAGTCTATCACATGATACAAAGTAAAATGGACAGGATACCTAGAAGAATCAACATGGGAACCCCTTGCAA